CCCTCCCTCCCTCCCTCCTTTCTTTTGTCTAGAAAAGTACAATTCCATCCTGGCTGATTGCTAAGGCATTCTGAAGATGATGTTAGGGGTTGGATGGTTTCCAGCCTAGCATTACTGACAGGTACTAGGTCCTAGCAGTGGGGCTGTGCTGTGGACTGAGCAGCACACCAGGCCTTGACTCCCATTAGAAGTCAGCAGCAGTCTTCCTCGCTGGGACAGCCAGTGTATCTCCAGACAGAGCCAGATGTCAGGGACACCCTTCCTGTATACGTTAGAAACAAAATCTGAGGTCCGTGGACACCATGGACCTATACCACACAAAGAACACTGGGCACAGTGAACATGACTCAGCCAGGCAGCAAAAGGGTGTGTTGTGCCATTCAGTCAAAGCAAGCACACCAGACCAGGGATAGGTGTTTCTACTAACACAAGAGTGCTGTGTCTTCCCTGTTGGCTGGGGTCCCACCTCACAGGTCTTCTACTCTTGGCTAATTTTAAAAGAATGGGTACACAGGAAATGAAAGAGAAAGGTGAAGGGGTTGGCTAAGAGGGGAAAGGGCTCAGCCTCCTCAGGCCACAGGTTCCCAGAATGCAGCAGGGCTTTTGCATAAATGAAAATATTACAAGGTGGGAGGGGGATTGAAAGATTTGAATTCCTTGTCATAAACCAAAGTTTTACAGTGTTTGACAGAAAAGGCTGAGACTTGTTTCTTATATAAACTCTAGACAGTGCTAAATATGGGGAAGTGGCATCCCTCTGGCTGACAGCCAGGTCTTCAGAAGTGAATTTACATCAGACACACTATGCTCCCAACCCCAACAAGTTGCTATGTGTGGCATAGCTTTGAATCTAAATATCATGACCCTGTAGTAACTGCATATGACTGCACAGGAATAGGGGAATAGGCTGAGGCCATGGGGCGGGGCTGAATGGGAGAGTCGGCCCCACAGAGAAAGGCAAACTAACTCCAGGGTATTTTTTGTTTTGTTTTTGTGATTAGGGTCTTGTGTAGCTCATGCTTGCCTCCAATCACTATGCAGATGGTCCTCCTGTCTCCATCTTGTGAATGCTGGAATCACAGGCATTCTGAAGCATGCCCATTTTACATGGTGCTGGGATTTGAACTCAGGGCTTCATACATGCTAAGCAAACACTCTACCAGCTGAGCCACACACCCAGCCTGACAGTGTTTTTATACAGGTCATTGCAATGTGAAAATTTGGATTTTGAGGGCTCTCTAAAAACCTACTAAATTCATAGCTAAGTCAGTAATTAAATGTCTTAAGTCAAAACCAGCTAAAAATGATGTACATCAAAGAACCATGTCAGCAATACCCAATAAACAGCTCCTCAGACTGCGGTGTTGAGGTCTCAAAATGAGCCTTTGTATTTTGTTCTTTCCTTTTTGAGACACTGTCTCACTAGATAGAGCATTCAAGGCCAGCCTGGTCTACACATAGACCAGGCTGGCCTTGAACTCACAGAGATCCACCTGTCTCTGTCTCCTGAGTACTGGGATTGAAGGTGTGTGCCATTACCCTGGTAAAATGAGCCCTTTTATTCTGGTAAAATATAATCACTTTGTGGGGCTGGGGGGAAATGGCTCAGTTGGTGACCTGAGTTTGGGATCCCCAGCACACACATAAAAAGCCAGAAGTGGTGGCACATGTTTGTGATCCTCGTGCTGAGACAGGAGGAGATGGGAGGATCCCTGAGCTCACTGACCAGCCAGTCTAGTCAAATTGGTGAGTTCCAGGTTCAGTAAGAGATCCTGCCTCAAAAAACAACATGGAGGGCTGGAGAGAGATGGCTCATAGGTTTAGAGCACTGGCTGCTCTTGCAGAGGACTGGGGTTTGATTCCCAGCACCCATATGGTGACTAACAACTGTCTGTAACTCCAGGTCTAGGGGAATCCGCCCCCTTCTGACCTCTGTGGGCATTGCATGACACAAAGTGCACGTACATACATGTAGGCAATACACTCATACACAAAAAGAAAATTTATAAAAAAAACCAAAGTGGAGAGTGACTGAGGAAATTACTTGGTGTCAACCTCTGGCCCCCACACATGTACATACATGAGTACAAACATATATACAAAAAGATTTACCACTTTAACAGTCTAAGTGCACAGTCCTGTAGTGTTACCTCTACCCAGATTTTGTGGCCATCATCACCATCCATCCCCAGGACTTTGTAAACACCCCAAGTCAAAACCCTGTTATGTGATGTGGACTAGTCCTTTCCTGTGGACAGGAGTCACACTGCAGATGTCATTTGTGGCTGCTTTCACTCCCTTAGCACTCCATCCTCAGGGAGTGTTCACATTGTAGTATGTCTTGGAATCTCTTTCCTGCCTAAGGCTGAACAAACTTCCATTGTTTGCATGTCCTACATTTTCCTTTTCTACTTGTCCACCAGGATACTCCTGTGGTTTTCAGCTTTTGACTATAGTGAATAAGGTTGCCTTGGATGTGGGTAGACAAAAAGGCCTGCATGCTTATGTACCCCCCCCCCAAATTCTTTTACGTATACACCCAGAAATGGCCAACGCTAGCTTTTGATAGAAACTTTAACTCAGCCATGCCACTTTTGGGGAATTTATCCTATGGATACAAAGTGTAAAAATTAGCCAAGTGAAATAAATAAAAATGCCCAATGCTGTAGTATTTCTAAGAGATAAGACTTGAAGCAAGCAGCACCCAGCAACAAATACCAGCAATAAAAGAAAAGAATTACTCCTAGAATTGGGGGAAATACTGGCAAATCCTATATTTGATAAAGGTTTAGTGTCCAGAATATATAAAGAACTTTTAGGGTTAAGCAATAATTTAATTAATCAATTTATTTTCATTTTATGTGTATGAGTGTTTTGCCTGCATGTATATTAAATACAGCCATGCCATGCAGTGCCCACAGAGGTCAGAAGAGGACATTGGATCCTGGGGAAGTGGTGTTCTGGGCAGTTGTTAGTCACCATGTGGGTGGGGGACCCAAACCCAGGTTCTCTATGAGAGCAGCCAGTGCTCTCATCTGCTGAGCCATCTCTCCAGCCCCCTCAACAATATATTTCTTTTTAATTATTTATTTTATTTTTAATTTTTATGTGTATGAGTATATTGCCTGCATGTGAGTATACCCGTGTTGTGCAATGCCCACGGAGGTTGGAAGAACACATAGGATCCCTTGGCACTGGAGTTATGGACAGTTGTAAGCCACCATGTGGGTGCTGGGACTCGAACCCAGGTCCTCAATAAGAACAGCCAGTGCTCTTAACCACTGAGCCATCTCTGTAGGCCCAACTATATATATATATATATATATATATATTTTCCTGACAACGGGTATAGCAGGTATATCTCCAAGAAAGATATTATATATATATATATATATATATATATATTTTCCTGACAAAGGGTCTAGCAGGTATTTCTCCAAGAAAGATATGCAAATGACCAGTAAGTGCATGAAAAGTGTTTGACATCACCAGCTATCAGGAAAGCACCAATAGAGACAGGAGATGTGGTCACACCCACAAGGAAATGCAGATCATTTTTCATACTGTCTAAAATGTATAACAGCCCCAAATGTTTGTCATCTGATGAAAGGACACACAGGGTAGCTTATCCAGACAATGGAATGTCACTTAACTATGAAAATAAACGGCAACATGGATGAATCTTGATACATTATAATAAACGAAGGAAGTCAGACCCCCAAAGACCACATGTATGATTCCATTGTGCGTCACATGAAGGCTATGAAACTAGAAAGTACATTAGTCCATTTCCTAGGACTGTAGGGGAGCAGCTGAGGGTGTGGGGGAGGGCAGTGGGGGATATGTACATATGACTTAGAGGAGCAGCAGAGGGCGTGGGGGAGGGCAGTGGTGGATATGTACATATGACTTAGGGGAGCAGCAGAGGGTGTGGGGGAGGGTAGTGGGACTATGTACATATGACTTAGGGGAGCAGAAGAGGGCGTGGGGGAGGGCAGTGGGGGATATGTACATATGACTCTTGGGGATTTCTAAATGATCTAAGATTGACTGCATGAATGTCAGCTATGAATGTATTAGAACTCTTGAGTTGCAGATAAAATATACGATATATACATACTTTGACTGATCTATTTCTTTGTTAAAATTGTTAGAATATGACTCATTCCCATAAAGTAGTTATAAGTAATTATAAAAATGTAATTAAAAAGCAATAATTAATGAGAAAGGCCTTTCAATAGCATGCTTGAATTGGAGGCTAGGGAGCTCAGGGCGTCTGCAGAAAGCAGTCCTCAGAGGACTCAATGCTGGACACCCACATGGGCACCTGACCTCACCCAGCGCCACTCACCCTTGGTGCAATAGGTGACCTCTCCTGCATAGTGCAGGAGGCGGAACTCCAGCCAGCCAATCCTCTTCCGCCCCTTTGGACCAGCCAGCTTCCGGCTGTGAGACACAAGCAGAACCCCTGAGCACTTCTCCACAGCCCCAAGACACCCAGCAAGAGTAATGGGAGAGATCCTGGGCCCGACGCTCAGCCCCGAAGGCTGAGCCCACAGAGGCTCCAGCAACTGTCGCTCGCTATTTCTGGCTGTTGACCAAAGTCTCTCTTACTTAGAGGTTTCCTTCTCCGTTTAGGTGAGGAAGAAAAACACCTGTGAGCAACAAGGTGTCTGTGAGTCACAGAGACATGCCATTCTAAAAATGAAATAACTTGAGGCTGGAGGCGTGGCTCAGTGCTAGAGCACTCGTCTGGAATGTACAAGGCCCTGGGATCTCTCTCCAGCACTGCATTTTTTAAAAAATTATTTTTATTTTATGTGTATGAGTGTTTTGCTTGCATATATGTAAAGGCATCTGTGTTTGAAATGCCTAAGGAAGCCAGATGAGGGTATCAGATCCCTTGGAACTGGAGTTAGTCACCATGTGGATGCTGGGAACTGAAACCAGGTCCTCTGCAAGAGCAGTCAGTGCTTTTAACTGCTGAGCCATCTGTCTCCAACCCCTGAACTTTTTTTTCTCTTTCTTCCTTTCTTTCTTCCTTTGTTACTGCCTTTCCATCCCTCCACCCTGTCCTCTGTCCTTTCCTTCCTTTTTTTGAGACAAGGTCTACCTGTAGCCACAATTGGCCTGGAACTTGATATGTAAACCAGGCTGGCCTCAATCTCACAGGCCTGCCTCTTCCTCCCAAGTGCTAGGCCTGGCTTTTTTTATTTTAATAACAAGATGGCTCAGCAGGTAGAGGCACTTACTGCCAAGTCTGATGACCTGAATTTGATCCCCTGGACCCACATGGTGGACCTACTGATATGTCTCTGCCTGTATCAGTGTCCGTGCCTGTATGTCTGTGTCTGTATGTGGAGCTCTGGCTTCATGCCTGTGTCTGTATGTCTGTCTATGTCTGTGTTTCTGTCTGTGTGTCTGTGTCAGTCTCTCTGTGTGTGTGTGTGTGTGTGTGTGTGTGTGTGTGTTGTCTGTGTCTGTCTGTGTCAGTGTTTGTGTGATGCTGGTACTCTGGTTTCACGCATATGCAGCACATGCTCCTCCTCCAAGCCACATTTCCAGTCCAGAGCATGTTTTAAAATTTGTCTCAAAGACTAAGTTAAAAATTGAATTTCCTGGGACTGGAGAGGTGGCTCAGAGGATAAGAGCACTTGTTGTTCTTCCGGAGGACCTGGGTTTGACTCCCAGCACCCACATGGTACCTCTGTCCTCCTTCTCCAGCCTTCACGGGCACTACACACACACCAATAAACATACGGCCATCAAAACACTTGTACGAATAAAAAAAATGTTTTCCTTTCTGAGATGTTGTAAGTACCCAGGATCTTAATACCATGGTGATTACATAAAAACGTAAAAATGTAGGACTGGAGGGATTGCTCAGTGGTTAGGAGTGCTTTCAGAAGATCTGAATTCAGTTCCCAGCATCCACATTAGGTGGCTCACAACCACCTGTAACTGCAGCTCCAGGGGACCAGATGCCCTCTTCTAGCCTCTGAGGGCACCTACATACATGACACACACATGCACATAAATAATAAAATAAATATAAAAATTCACTGGGCTGCACAGACTTACTTTAGATATCTTCATTATTGTTATTTTTGGTGGTGCTGGAAGGAACCCAGAGCTTTGCATGTGCTAGGTACGCGCTCTACTACTGAACTACAGCCCAAGTCCCAAGGGTTTTTTTTGTTTGTTTGTTTGCATATGGATTCTTTGTTTTTGTCTTTTTAGATAGTGTCTTTCAGTGTGGCCCAGGCTATTCCTGAGCTCCTGATTCTCCTGCTTCAGCCTCCTGAGTGCTGGGATGATGGGCCCATGCCACCACACCTGGCTGGACTTGAATTGATTAGAGGGACTATCTCATGCATAGGCATGCTGATGAACAAAGCAGGATGCTAAATATTTATTCATTCAAAATATTTATTATTTTTATTTTTTATGTAGATGAATATATTGCCTGCATGTATATAAGTGCACCTATGTTGTGCAATGCACATGGAGGTCAGAAGAGGATGTCAGATTACACTGGAACTGGAATTAGGATGGTTGTTAGCTGGGAATCAAACCCCTGTCCTCTGCAAGAGCAACCAGTGCTCTTAATTGCTGAGCCATCTCTCCAGTCCCCAGAATGCTAAATCTTAGAGACAGTCCACTTGAATTCCTGTCTGCCAGCAAGAGCACACAGAGGCAAGAGCTGCTGGTCACAGTATTTTTGTATATGAAGAAGCAGTTGTGCTTTGTGTGTGTGGTGTATATGTGTAGTATGTGTATGTATGTGTGTGTATGAGTGTATGTATATATGTGTGAGTGTGAATGTGGTGTGAGTGTATGTATATGTGTGTGAATGAGTATATGTATGATTATAGTGTATATGTGCCTGAGTGTGTGTATATGTAGGGGTGTATATATGTATTCATGTGTGTATGTGTTGAGTGTGGTGTATATGTGTGTGAGTACATGTATATGTGTGTATATGTATGTGAGTGTGGTATGTGAGTGAATGTGGTGTATGTAACCGTGTATATGTAGATGGACATACAGAGGCCTGAGGAGGACGGTCACAGGGTATCCTGCTCTATTACTTTCTGCCCTGTTCTTTTGAGAGAGGGTCTCTCACTGAACTTGGAGCTAGACTGGTGGCCACCAAGCCCCAGAGATCCTCCTGTCTCCCACTCCATAGCTCTGGGGTTATAGGCACATGCCACCACTCCTGGCTTTTTATGTGGGTACTGGGATCTGAACTCAGGTCTTCTTGCTTGCACAGCAAACATTCTTATCCACTGAGCCATTTCTTCAGCCCTGAAACAGTTATCCTCTTGAGACCCAGTCCAAGTGAGGTAGAGACACTTGTTTTCCCCCAGATGACGGCCCACTGAGTAAGCACATACGTTTGGAAGTGTGCGTGCCCGCCCACTTTCTCTTCCAGTTTCTCCAGGAAGCTCAAGTCTGTGGCAGGTCCAGGACGGATACATTCTTCATCCTTTAAGAAGAAAAGAAGACACTTCGACCCATGGCACATGCTGGTTAATTCCAAGTTTAAATGCCTTCACTAGTGGGGGCAGAGTGTTTTGGACCAAAGTCCTGTCACCTCACAGGAGCAGGTGAACTTCTGGGAGGAAACAGTTACCCAGTACACGTGCCAGCTCCTCAGGCCCAGGGAATGGGAATCCCATGTAAGTTCAGTTCTCCTGGGCATCCGACCCATGTTTCCCTTTACCTGTTTCCCCTTTTCCTTTCCTTTTTCTTTTTTGAGACAGGGTTTTGCTGTGCAGTCCAAGTTTCCTTGAATTCTTGTTTTAACCTCCCAAGTGCTGAGATTATAGGCGTGTTTCACCATGTCCAACTTTGACCCGTATTTTCCTCCGTCCCTCTGTCCCTCCGTCCCTCCGTCCGTCCGTCCGTCCCTCCCTCCCTTCCTTCCTCCATTCTTTCCTTCCTTTCTCTCTTCTCCCTCTTCTAGGTAGGGTTTTGCTGTATGGCTCAAGTTGGCCTCAGACTTGTGGCTCTCCTGCCTCAGTTTCCTGAGTGCTGGGATGACAGGCATGAGCTACTACATCCCGTTCTGACCCATATTTTCCAAGTCTTCTCAGGGACACCTACAGTTGCCATGGAAGCTTAGTTAACCCTCCCCCCCCCCCATTTTCTCTTAACCAGTCATTAAGGACCAAGAACAATCCATTCACAGGGCAAAGTCCTCACAGAAAGCAAGCTATAAAACCAGCTGAGCCCAACCTGGCTCACTTCTCAAGCTAAGGGTGTTCCCTCAACCACTATACCACTTAATTGACCATTATAAAAGAAATTACAAACCAATCAAGTCTATAGCTTTTATCAAAACAACAAAACCTGGGTTACAGGTTAGTGAGACAGTTGACATAGAAGTGTGAGTTTATCACAAAAACATTTTAAAAGACCAGCCCCAGGGCTGAGGAGATGGCTCAGTAAAGTAAGCAATTGCTGCATAAGCATGAGGACCCGAGCTCTGTCCCCAGCACCCATGTAAAAAGCTGGGCATGGTGGTGCACGCTTGTAATCCCAGTGCTGAAGACAGGAGATAGGCAGAGCCCTGGGCTCACTGGCCCACCAGCCTAGCCAAATCAGCAAGCTCTAAGTCCCAGGGAGGCATCCTGTCTCAAAAACCAAAGTGTATGGCTCCTGAGGCACAATCCCCAAAGTTAACCTCCGTCTTCCACACACACATTCACACATACACACAGGCATGCATATGCACGCACATGCACGTGCACACACAGTCATTCACTTGCACACAGTCACAAATGTACACATGCACACACACAAGGTTCCTCCAGGTCTTTGCCCAAACCTCACCTCCTCAGAGAGACCCTGCCTCGTCCATTTTCCTGAAGCAGATCTCACCTCCCACACACCAGTCCCTCTTCCACTTTCTTCCCCTAGCACAGCTGACCTCACCCCATCTGCTGCTGTCTCACTCTCAGAGCTGGAGCTTCCAGACTCCTGAGGGCAGGGCCTGGCCTGTGTCATTCACTGTTGGACTTCAAAGCACAAAGCACAATGCTGGCATGAAGCAGGTACTGGGTGTTTGTTGAATGAACATGGTCTAAGTGCTTACCATGTACCAGGCCCAGTTTTGAGCACTGGGCATGAATTGTCTCAATTTGTCTTTATAGCTCCTCTCTGAGGAAGGTGCTATCACTGTTCTATTCACAGACAACGGAATGGGAGCTCAGAGAGGTTGAGACACTTGCCGAAGGTTGCACAGTAAGTCCAGATGGGTCTCATATTTGTGGCACCTACACTTACTACCCATTCATGTCCCTGTTGGATATGCAGAATGGTTGCAGGTTGTGTAGGATGTGTGGAAAATTCTTTTCATGAAAAGGGAGGCAAAGAGTGGTAAAGATGACCCCAAGTGACAAGGTGAGGCAGTAATTTCTCCTTTGCCTTTAGAATATATTGGAAAATGGATGCTTCAACTTGACCAATTTTGGAATTACAGACTTTGACATTCTCACAAGTTATAAGACTTCCAAATGTTCCTTTCCAAGGTGCCCCGACTCTGAATTGGTTGAGTTCTTTGCAAAGCCTTTTGGCTACCTCCTGGCTCTCCACTCTGCACTAAGCATGAACACAGCCCCTCTCCAGTGGCCACTGGGTTTTCCCATGCTCTGTTGCCATAACAAAGTCCTTGAGCTGGGAACTCTATAAATCGAAGAGGTTCATATGGCTCATAGTTCTGGAAGGCTAATGGCCTGGGGCCCATCTCTGTTCAGCTCTGTTAGGGCCTCACAGCAGATGGCACTTCATTGATAGGAACACATGGTAAAACAGAAAGTCAGAGAAAGGCTGATGAGTGGCCAGCCAGCGGCCAGGCTTGCTCTTTCTAACAGCCTTCATGAGAATCAGCCAGAGTCCCTGGAGAACTACATCAGTCCCTTCAGGCAGCACCTACAACATCTGATTATTTCTAACTAGGCTCCATCTTTTAAAGATTACACCACTTCCCAGTGACATCACTCTGGGGACTCTTGGGGATACCCTCAAATCATACCAAAACACCTGACTACATGGTAGGAAGACACGCGTGCATGCTTTCATTTCAAAGATTGTTCCTCGCTGGCCAGCATGGGCTCTCATTTAGGGCTAAGGGGAGAGGCACCCGGCCTGAGGCATCAGGAAACTTTCATTAGCAAGAACCTCAGCTTGCTCCTGTAGTACCCCAGTAGATCTACTCTCAGCCCTCCATCATTTTATTTAAGTCAGTCTTATTCTGTGGCCTAGACTGCCCTGGAGCTTACTACGTAGTCTAGGTTGGCCTCAGATCTGCCTGCTTCAGTCTCCTGAGTGCTGGGATTACAGTGTGCACCACCACCCTGGCTCTCTCAGCCCTTTGAAGCCTGGGGGAACATTCGTGCACATGTTGCAAACGCCCAGTGAATGAACATCAAGTTCAGTGTTCATTTTCTCACCAGAATGGAGATAATTCCTTTGTGTCTTTCTTCTACTAAATCACAGATAATCTTGTTGTTGAAATACTGAATCGGCTCCCACTAAAACGACAAGAGGAAAAAATTCTCCAGGAAGGATTTAGGCGAGTATCAAGTGCATTGGTTTGACAGTGATTTTCTGAATATTGTCTAAAACTCTGATTTTTATATCCAACCCTTAAAAAATGATACCTTTAGGCCTGCAGGATGACCCATGAATAAAGGCAAGGCCTTGGTTGTTTTTTATTGTCACCCTGACACAACCTGAGTCACCTGGGAAGAGGAAGCCTCAACTGAAGAACTTCCTTGATCAGATTGGCCTGTGGCCATGTCTGTGGGGGCTTGTCTTGACTGATGATTGATGTGGGAGAGCCCGGCCCATTGCAGGTGGCACCATCCTTAGGCAGGTGAGCCCTAGCTATGTAAAGAAGCTAGCTAGTCATGAACCAGTGAACAAGCCAGTAAGCAGTGTTCCTCCATGGGTTCTGTTTGAGTTCCTGCCCTGGCTTCCCTCAATGATGGCCTGTGACTTAGAAGAGTAAGGCCTTTCCTCTCCAAGGTGCTTTTGGTCAAAGTGTATTCTCACATAATCTTGTTGTTGAAACACTGAATCGGTGTCCACTAAAATGACAGATCAGGCACTCTCCACATAAGCGTGGTGACCTGAGTTCAAGCCCCAGAATCCACATAAAGGTGAAAGGAGAGAAATGATTCCAGAAAGTTGTCTTCTGACCTCCACATGTATACCACAGCACATGCACCCACACACATACATTATATACATGTGCATGCCATGGCATTAGAATTCTTACATGATACTCTCTAAATAGCAAAACATTTCCCTAGGGAAACGAGATGAAATGGAAAAAAATTCTTAATATGGACCACAAAAATCTCAAATGAAATAATATTTTTCAAATGTCTTTAGCTACTTTGAGAAATCAAATAAGGAGGGGTTGGGGTGGAGCTCGGTGGCAGAATGCTTTAACAGCATGCTTAAAGCCCCAGGTGCAACCCCAGACAGACACACGTAACATACACACATGTGCACACATACCTGCACACATACGGACACACACACTCACATGGGGCAAAGCGAATGCTTACCTCAATGCCTTCCATTTCGTACTCTGCCTGCTCCGCCTTCAGGGTCCTCTCTATCAACAACTGTTGGAGCTTTTCATTGCAGTAATTTATACAGAACTGTTCAAAACTAGAGATGCAGTGGGTTTCAGTCTTGCAAGTCACACAAACAGACCAGTTAAAATCAAACTGCTTCTTTGCCAACATACAAACACCTTATCAATAGAATGATTTACTAAATAACTGTTAAGAACCAAGTTGAGGGGCCGGAGAGATGACTCAGCAGTTAAGAGCACCAGCTGCTCTTGTAGCAGATTAGGGTTCAGCTCATATCATCCACATGATGGATAAAAACCATCCTTTACTGTTGGGGGACCCTGCTGCTAGTTGTAGTCCTCCATGTCCAGATAGCTCTAAGGGGCTCGGCGCTGTATGGAAGGCCTCCCTTTCTTAGCGGGGGCCTCCTGCTTTCTGCCTGACTTACCTGGAAAGTGCCGCCAAGCACGGATGCCTGACCTTATTTGGAACATGACCTTTGGCA